GGCCAGTAGTTCACTGACTGAGCATCATCAGCTTTGCTCCAGCTCCTGCTCTGACTTTATATTATAATCCTCATTCTAATAAATTTGGGATCTTTGTTCAACTTAATGAAACCTCTGCCCGATACTGAAGTTCTAGGAATGATAGCTAACATTTATTTAACATTGCTCTTTATAAAATATATGTGTGTATGTATGAATGTGTGTGTGTGTATAGAGAGAATCAAATTATATATGTCATATTTTTATATGTATATATAATACAGAAATATACTTATATATAATATATTTCTATACAGTATACATCAGAGAATCAAATTATGTGAATATATGTGTATATATATGTGTGTATATATATATATGTGTGTGTCTATATATATATATATATATATATATATATAGACACACACATACATAAGAACTGTTATTATTCCCATTTTGCAGATAAGAAAACTAAGGCTTACAGAGATTAAGTGACTTGCACAGGGTGTCATACATTTAGTAAGTGTCTAAGGCAGGATTGAACTCACGCTATCCAATTATACCACTTGGCTTCCTCATAGTAACTGGGTTAGTTCTTCTTTGGCCTTAGGAACTAGGGTCCTTCATCTTCCTCCTGTCTCTGGGCCTTTCATCCTTCTAGGAATTGCATCCATGAGTCTGAAATCCTTGTGGCTGAATCCCTCCTAACTGCTGCCCCATTTCACTGATGTCAAAAGCCTACCAGTGTGGATATCTGCTTATCATTAGCTTTTCTTGCATCTCCTTGCTATATGATTAACCCAGGATTTGAGCCAGTTTTCTTCTACTGGACCTTTGTGATGCCAAATCCTTGCTTGATTGGATTTCCTCTGACTGTCAACAATTACCCCTGAAGTTGTAGTTAACTAATCTCTGAGTCCAACCCTCCCCACAAGCTAACTTCCTGTTGAATGAGCTCTAGTGATGGCATGGTCTATGTGCAGAGACCAATGTAGCTCTTGCCCAACTTAGAGAACTCATAAAAACCAGGTGAAGAATCACTTACCTTTGAAAGAATACTATTGTCAATACAGATGATGTTAGCCATGCTTTGTGATGTACAGAATAAACTAAATAAAAGCCCATTAGAAAGGGTGGAGAGGAACAAGCATTTTTTAAACATCTATTACCTGCCAGGAACTTTAACAATCTCCTATTTGATCCTCACAACATCTCTGTGAAATAGATGCTATTATGATTCCCAACTATAGTTGAGGAAATGGAGGGAGGCAGAGGTTAAATGACTTGACCAGGGTCACAGTAAGTGTTTGAGGTCAGATTTGAACTCATTCTCTCTGACTTCAGGACCAGCACTCTCTCTGCTCTGCTACCTTGTACTTGTGAGACATTAAAGGTATTTATAAAAAATGAAAACCTAGCAAATTTGGCTCTGGTAATTTCTGGAAGATGGTTACCTAGTGAGAGACAAAGAGGATAAACCCATGGAAAGCCCAGATGCTTTGTTGGCCTTAGGGCCGGTAAACCCAAGGAAGGTCCCCAGTAGACCCCCTGTGATGGAGTTGGAGGAAGACATGGACATCAGTCTCACAGATGCCTTGGATAAGCTGTGATCTGAATTGATTCTTTAATTTCTGAAAGAGAGAAAAAAAAACAGCAAATGATTTTTCTTGCCTAGGAGTTTATTTGTTTGCTTCAATCTTAAATTGGGATAGTAGTACCGATAGGTTTCTTAATTGGCCCTAAATGGTTCTATTCATATCAGTAGGACTATGGTAAATTACAGAAACATATGGCTAAACTAAAAGGGGGCAGCTGATTTCTAAGGTCTCTTTTAATTAAGCCATTTTGTTGTTCAGTTGTGTCTGACTCTGGGGGTTTTCTTGACAAAGATACTGGAGTAATTTGCTATTTTCTTCTCCGGCTCATTTTATAGATAAGGAAACGAGGCAAACAGGGTTAAGTGACTTGCCCAGGGTCACATAGTTGGTGAGTGTCTGAGGTTGTATTTGAACTCAGAAAGAGGGGCCTTCCTGACTCCAGGCTCAATGCTCTCTCCACTGTACTACCTAGCTGCCCCTAGTTAAGTCATTTATTTCTGTAAATTACCATAGTCCTGCCATGTGAACAGAACCATTTAGGCCAATTAAAAACCTCCATCAGTACTATTGGGTCCAATTTAAGATTGAAAACATCAGAGTTTCTTAACTTCTTCTGTGTCCCAAACCTTGTTGGCAGTCTAATAAAATCTTTGGACCCCCCTCCTCAGAATAGTTTTAAATAATTGAGGATGTGTTCAATTTCAGTTAGAGATTTGTGAGAATAAATTCCTAATTTTCATGGATCCCCTAAAACAGACCATGGACTCAGGTTGAGAATCTCTACTCTAGAGATTCATATTTTTGCAGAATGAAAATCCTTAGGGTCTGAAAGAAGCCATTCAGGGGGCTGAATCAACAGTAAGTTTCATAGTAAAATCATTGAAGAGGGAACGATAGTCCTGCTGACGTTAAGAGCTGGAGAGAAGGGAAGCAAGGACTATTTTTTTTTTAAGCAGGAAGGAGACTTTCTCTGAAGTGGAGGTTGGGGCTAGGAAGTATGAGCTTTCTTTTAGAGGAAAAAAACAAGGTTAAATAAATCAAAAGATCCCCAGAGCCAGAGATGTTAGAGAGGGCTTATCTTTCACCTCTTCCAGGTAAGAACTACAGAGACTATTTACTCATATTTTGGATGGGCATGTCTGGAACATTCAGAAAGAGTATCTGATCTCAAGGGATTCACTTCTGCTGTGGGTTGCTAGAAATAAACAATGTTCACTAACTCCGTATTATCCAAGCATTCCCTCTGTAGAGTTCTTATGTTACATAACTTATGAGAAACTGCCATCCTTTCCCATCCCCCCCCCATCAATGATAGCTTCCATAGAATCACAGTATTAGAGCATTTTGAAACTGGATGGGATTTTAGAAATTGGCCAGTCTTGCTTCCTCATTTTTGAAATGTGGAACCTGGGGCCTTCAGACATTTTCTGGTCTGTTATGCCTTTTTTGTCTTTCTCTGGTCTCTGTAGACTTCTCTTTGAGTTCTGCCAAATGTTCTCATTGGGGAGATTGCTCCTCTGAAGTTAGGCAGTTGTGGAAAAGGCCAGTCTCTTCATTCCATTAACATTTACCAGCTTTATCTTGAATTTTCTTATTAAAGTGGTGCCAAAAGCAATCTGCCAGGTGGCAATAGTAATCCAATTTTTGACAGATAATCAGTAAAATAAACACTCTGAAGCTGGAAATCAACTCGATTGTGCTGCAGCCTTTGTGGAGGGTACCACCTACACCTCTAATTAGGGAATAAAGTTTTGTAAGTACTAGAGGGAAGAGAGATTTCTAGAAATCACTTAGGTAACTGGGTGTTTAAGACAAGGCACCAAGAGGATCAATGGAAAGGAACAAGGCCATTGAAAGTTTCTTCCCGAAGAAATTGGGCAACCCCAAATTTAATGCAATTAAAGCAATTAAATCCAAACAAACGTTTAAGTACCCGCTAAGTCCAAGGCACTATAGACTTCAACCAAAGATATTAGTGTATCACCCTTGGGAAAAGTGATGGAAGGAGCCTCCTATGTGCCCAGTCCCCTTCACTTCAGAGCATGCCTGCCAAACATCTTCTAACTTCTTTTCAACTACAAAGACACTTTTAATTAGATTCTGAACTGGAAACCCCGACTAAAAGGGTAATCCTGGCCCCTCAGGCATCTTCCTTCATCCCTCAAGGTAGAAGGATGGCTTAGCAAAGTCAAGTTCTGCTTCTTGGTTCAAAACTGTTCCAGCAACCCATACCCTGTTATTCAGGTGTCAGGGAGGTAAAAGATGCCGCCTGTCTTTTAAGATTTCCTAACATCTTGTACCAAAGGATAGAAGACAAAAATAGGTGTGTCTTCATTCGAGGTATAGGATTGCCTAGAAGGCCATGCACTCAAGACTTAAAGCCTGGTGGAGAGAAGGCATCCCCTCATCTATCCTGTTGAACTCAGAGATAACCACAGAGTAGAGTTCTGACTCTATAGCTAATGAAAAGAGTTTTCATGAGTGACAGGGAATAATCAGACTATATTTGTCCCTCCTCTGAAATAGGGGTGGGGGTGGGAAAAGGCTTCTTCCTCATATATCTAAAGGGAGTGCTACAAAAAGATGATATAATATTTGTTTTTTTAACCTGGGGGGGGGGTTTGGATATCACATATCCATAAGCAAATATAATGAGAGGCAGAATGTGATAAGAGCAAAAGCCCTCTAGGAGGAAGGGAAGTGAGACAGATCACTTTGCAAGAGAAGACAGATAAAAGGGAACAAGTCTTATGTTCTTAAGGAACAAATCTAAGGATATTTTTTTTCAGTGGAGTGGGTCTAGATCTGTGATTTCATGAACTCAATCAGTCAATCATCAAGTATTTATCAGGAAATGTGAATTAGCCGTGTGACCATAGGTAAGTTACTTAACCTCAGGGAAGCTAGGTAGCTTAGTGGATAGAACACTGGACTGGGAACCAGACTCATCTTTCTGAATTCAAATCCAGCCTCAGATACTTACTAGCTGTGGGACCCTAGGCAAGTCACTTAATCCCATCTGCCTCAGTTTCCTCATCTGTAAAATGAACTGGAGAAGGAAATTGGCAATCACTCCAGTATCTTTGCCCCCCACCAAAAAAAAAATGGAGTCATGAAGAATCAGAAAGGACTGAAAAGACTGAAGAATAACAAGAAACACCCACCCCTGACCCCCCAGGTAACAATCTAGCACTTAGCCCAGTGCTTGGTCACACAGCTAATTCACATGTCCTGAGTGCAGGAGCAGTCCCCCTCTCCCCCAACTAGTCCAGCCTGCATTTCAGTTCTAAGTATAGAGCTGGATAAATGGAAGGAAAGCACAAAAGACACACAGCCCATCTTTGTACTTTCTGGCTCCTGCTTCTCCCATGATGTTATAAAGTGGGATTGAGCATCATTTTACTCTCATCTCCTATTCCCACAGAAGCCCTGTAGTCTCCAGCAAGAAACAATGGCAGGAATAGTCCCTGCCCGAGCCCTGATCCCAGGATGATGCTGTGGGTAAGTGCACGGGAGGGTGGGGTTTGTAAACATTGCTAAGGAGTGGGAAATGCTGACTATGAAATCTGTGTAACTGCAACAGAGTTTTTGTACAAGTATTCAAGTGTTCCATGCCATTTTTATCAGAAAGTATTCGATATCTTTATATTTATTTGGTGGGTCAGAGTGTGCAGTTTGCTATTCTTTAGTGTTACAGTCCTGCAGGAATAACTAAAAGCTTTGGCTGTTATCTTCAAAAGAAATCCTGTACATACACAGGTACCTTGGAACTGTGCATAGACTCCACACCTTGCCTTCTTGGATAATTATTGCCTAATTAACAATTTAATGGGCTGGATTTTTAAGTGTCTGTATTTATTATGTATAGAATTTCTCTACGTTTGACTGAGCCCTTTCTGATGGTAAACTTGGGGACTGAGGTTGCCTCTTTTTTTTTTATTTCTCCTTGTTCTTTGTTCCAAACAATTCCTCCATTGTGTGGTGTCTTTGCAGGAGGGCTGCTGCTAAAGTAAGCATTGACTCCCGTTTACTTTTCATCACCATATCAAGAGAAGCCCTTCCTTTGTACTGGCTCTCCTAGATGTCTGCTCAAGCTGTATAAATATTAAGAGAAATCCAGTGAACATTCTCTCTTGCTTGAGGGGTGTTCTGCATCTTTCAGCCCTCAATTTTCCCAATAATCAGAGGAAGACAGTGCTGAGACATCTAAGGTCTCCTCCAGAGGTCAATCTGTTATCTTACTATCTTGTGTGCATTGTACTTGGCACTAGAATTAGAAATTCTAGTCTTCCTTTGCTTTCTCAAGTCCCTGGAGATGAACCTTTTTAGAATTACTGAGTTTTCTCAGAGCACAAGCTCACCATACTTCCTTTTGAAAGGAGCTATATGAAAATATAACCACTGCTTATTAGCTTTGGACACAAAGCTTGCACTGGCCAATGCAGAAGAAAGGGAAAATAGGGTAATATATGATTTTTTTAAAACAATATCTGAGTAGGGATAAATCTCTTTTTTGTGGGGGGGGTTGCTTGCATTTTATTGATTTTTTGTCTATATATCACATTCAGTTATAGATTACTAACTCTGTGAGAGGTCTCTTGTGACAATTAAGCAAAATTAGTAATACAGTGTACTCATCTGAGAGCGAATGCAACATTTCACAATTCCTTTCTCCATCTCTCTTTTTAAAAAATTAACAGAAATCTATTTTCTCTCCTTCCTAATCTCCTCTCAATTCATAAAAAAGAAAAGAAAAAACAAATTTCTTATAATAAAATGAATCAAGTAACTTTGGGTGTAGAATTCCGAATTGTTTTCCAGGATGGCTATACTCATTCACAGGTCTACTAATATGCCTGGTTTCCCATTAGTTCCTCCAACATGTGTCATTTTCCTTTTTTGACATCGTCATTCTGCTGGGTATAAAGTGAAATCTCAGAGTTACTTCAATGCGCATTTCTCTAATCAGTAGTGATTTGGAGCATTTTTCCACATGGGTATAAACAGCCTGAATTTCTTCTCTTGAGAACTATCTACTTATATTCTTAGACCATCTATAAATTGAGAAATGGTTCTTTTTCTTTTTTCTTTTCTTTTGTTTTCTTTTTTTTTCCCTTTCCTTTCCTTTCCTTTCCTTTCCTTTCCTTTCCTTTCCTTTCCTTTCCTTTCCTTTCCTTTCCTTTCCTTTCCTTTCCTTTCCTTTCCTTTCCTTTCCTTTCCTTTCCTTTCCTTTCCTTTCATTTCCTTTCCTTTTCTTTTTTTTTGGTGAGGCAATCAGGGTTAAGTGACTTGCCAGGGTCACATAGCTAGTATCATGTGTTTGAGGCTGGATTTGAACTCAGGTCCTTCTGACTCCAGGTTCAGTGCTCTATCCACTGCACCACCTAGCTACCCCCCAAAATGACTTTTTTTCTTATAAATTTTAATCAATTCTTTCCATATCTTAGAAATGAGATCTTTATAAAAAATGTTGCAAACATTTTTCACTGTTGTTTTTCTTCTAATCTCAGCTTTATTAGATTTGTTTGTGCAAAACTTTTAAAATTATATCTAATCAAAATTTTCCGTTTTATCTTCTATGGCCACCTCTATTCCTTGTTTGGTCATGAGTTTTTCTCCCATCCATAGATCTGATAAATATTTTTTCCCTTGTTTCTCTAATTTATTTATGATATAACATTTTATATCTAGTTCACCTATCCATTTGGAGTTTCTCTTTGTATTAGGTGTATTGGTATAAATCTAATTTCTTCCATTCTCAAGAGGCTTATGATTAGAACCCATAGCCTTTGAAAAGTGGAATGTTGCAATGGAAATATGATAGCATTCCAATTCCCTTCATGGGCCAGTGCCACTTGTCAGCATCAGGCAAGCAGAGAAGTAGGAGAAAACCAAAGCATTATTGACAGGAAGTTTGATACCAAACTTCCTGGAGAGTGGGAAAATCATTCTGTCCCTCAGGAGCTCATCTATCTTCCCTGGCAGTGAAACCATGGTACCAGCAATCAAATCTGAGCAAAGATTACTTAAGTGAAGCCTGAAGTATGATTTAAAACCCAGATAAGGGCACTTTGAGAAGGGAAAAAGGGGCTAAATCAAATGTTACAGTCTTCTGAACATTTCTATTGACATATTTTAAAAGTATTTCCCCCCTGGAGTATCTGGAAGGTTCTCACAGGATGGAGGCACTCTGGTATCTCCTTTCTCTGTGCTTTGTCTTCTCCAAACCAGGCAATGATCCCAGCCTGCAGCTCAAAATCCTGTTTCTTCACTGTAGTCCCAGAGTGGCTTTTAAGATCGCAAGGGAGATCTGTGATCTCATCAAGGACCTCATCAAGATTTTATACCAGTCCAAAGATCATGAAGTCACAACCAGTCAGAACGTCAGGGAAAAGAACTGAGGTTATTTATCTGGGACAACGACCAGGCCTGATAGTAGAGACTACAATTCTTTAGGTGAAAAAATACTTAGCTATTTCAGTCTAGGGTGAAATATAAATGCCATGTTGTTGAGAGTAGATCATGGGTACAATTATATGGACATATAAGGCATCGTGGAGATTATGTAGTCCAACCATTTCATCTTAAAGATGAAGATGAGGAAACTGAGACTTATTACATTTTTATAGACTTTTCCTGTAAAGGGGGCAAGCCAGGATCTGGCCTCATCACAGCTCTGGTTAAGTCAATGTGGTCATAACCATTCCAAATCTTAAGCAATTTATATAGCAGATATGCATGAGTCTGAGGGTGGGGCTTCTTCATAAATACTAGCAGTGGTATTACTGAATAATACTGTGATCTGAAGATCATCTGATAATTTTATGTGGTTTGGTTAAGTAAGAAAATAGAGAGAAGGACATGCTAAAGACCCCTTACACTGAATAAAATCAGTTTCACAGAAGGTACTGCAGAAACAAAAGGGTGTTTAAAAAAAACCCAACAAAACAAAATATTATTTTCATTCAAGTCAATTGTTTAAAGAAAAAGGGACTCCTATGAGGTAAGCTAGCCTCTAAGGGCAATTTCCTTGCCTTCAGATCTTAACTTTCCCATGCTTTGTTTCAAGTATTGAAATCTTTTTTCCTTTAGTATAGAATAATATCCACTCATTGATATTTTCATTATTATTATTATTCACCTTCATTTAGTATGACATTGACTTTTCATCCAACCAAAATATTAAATGGAAAAGCTGACATTCTGAAAGGGTTAACTTAAATCCCTCATATAAATAAGCTGCTTGCTTGCTCTTTAGAAACCTTTATGGATCTATTAAAATGTTAACTTTTAAAATTAAAGCAATCCAAATGTTGAGCAGTAAAGATAAAAATAGTTACAAAGCAAACAACATAGACAAAAAACACCTGGGCCATTGACAGCCAGAGAGGCAGACACTTCATCCTGACTCCTTAGCCAGGAACCCCAGAACCACATAGAACTCTGATACCAGAGTTGTGAGATTTTACAGGAATTCTGTCCTCTGATGAGAGTTCCTGTAAAGTTACATAGAATGGAGAGGCCCAAAGGATTTTTCTTATTCCACATGATAAATTTCAACAGAAGCCAACAGGAAAGGCTTAGGTTGTCTACTTCTATCTCCCTGGCATAAGATATGTTCATAAGGAGAGAAAAGTTTCAGTCTGCTGATGACCGTTCATCAGAATGGGTGGGTGGCAGTGTCATTGAGGAGTCATGTGAATGCATCTGACATAATGCTGGGCTTTGTCTTCTTCCAGGCTACTTGACAAATGAGAAATTATCCCAGCCATCCCTTCCTCTGTCTCTCCAACCTCTGTCCTTTGTTCAAATCTTATTTTGACAAGGAATGATACAAGGAAAAGGCAGATATGAAAAATAATAGCTAACTCACATGACACTTTCAGGTTATAAAGCACTTTTGAGCTACACCACAACCCTGTAAGATAGGTAATGACCCATTTTACCTAAGAGGGAATTGAGTCTCAGAGAGGTTAAGTGACTTGTCCAAAGGAAGGAAGGCAAAGAGGGAGGAAGGGAGGAAAGAAGGGAAGAAGGACAGACAGAATGAAGGAAGGAAAAAAGAGGGGGGAATAAAGAAGGAAGGATGAAAGGAAGGTAGGGAAGGAGAGAGGAAGGGAAGAAGGAAGGAACAAAGGAAAGAAGAGAGGGATGAAAGAAGGAAGGGAGGTAGGAAAAGAGAGGGTGGAGTAAGGAAACAAGGATGGAAGGAAAGGAGGAGGGAGAGATAAAGGGAGAAAGGAAGGGATGAAGGAAAGAAGGGAGGGATGAAAGAAGGAAGGGGAGGAAGGAAGAAAAAGAGGCAAAGAAGGGAAAGCAAGAAATAAAAAGAAAAAAGGAAGAAAGAGAAAAGAAAAAGAAAATGAAATTGTGAAGTGATCACATGCTAAGAGTTGGAGATAGAAAAGGAAAGGAAGCTAGTCCCCACTCTCCAGGTTCTTGGTTTTTTAAATTAATTAATTTATTTTTAGTTTTCAACAATCATTTCCATAAGCTTTTGA